AATTAGTGCTGTGATAGTTTGGGCATGTGTGGCGAATGGCTGCTAGAAGAAAGAAGAAGCAACTGTTTCTTTTCTCAGACGACTGGCAGAAGGTCCAGGGAACGGCTGACATTAATCTGGTGGAAATATATGGAAGAATTCTGCTCCAGACTCCGGCACAGGATCGGGAACATTGGAAACACTGTCTGAAAGGACTGCCTCTGTGACCTGAAAATAGAAGCGATTATGGAAGATGAAGAGAAATTGTTTGCTAAGGGCAGATTGTGATATAGCGGCCTAATGATCAGTTTATCAACGAATGAAAGAACTTGTATCTCAACGAAAGCAGATCAAGTTTTTGAATCAGGTCCTTAAGGGATGCTGATAGAGTAAAGTATCGTCTTCATTTCAGGGCATTTTGCGCTATTTTAAAAATGTCGCATTTTTATTGCATCATAATGAGGCTCGTACATATATTCTATCGTGCCTAATGTGAACAATGGGGAACAAACTTGGCGTAATGAAGGGATTGCTCTGTAGTACAATTTAATTTTCACCTGCTAATGGACTGCTCTCAGGAAATTATTGAAATATAATGAGTTACCCTGATATGTTCATTCTGTCAGCCTAGTGATTGATCTTAAGCGAACCTTCATACTGAGCGTTCACTTTTGAAGAATCTCAGTATCGAAATAGACCGTATATTCATTGCATTATAAGGAATGGCAATTGTTTGGAGAAATTTGAATCACATGATATAGTTTCAACATCGATGGGAAAATGAACACATTGTTAGATGGATGAATTATACTGAACCAAGATAGCCGTGAATCGTAGAATAAGAAGAACAACACCGGAAGATCAGCCATAAAATAATGCATCATGCTAATGAACCAAAAATTGCAGCAATTTATTAGTTTTTTGCTGTGGATAATGATGAAACTATCTTTTCATGTCTAACAGATGTAGTCTATTGCGTTTATTAACTGTGATATGATTACTTTTGAAGGTGTTCAAACGAGAATCAGGACCTGCGAAACGCGATGTGCCGCGCCCAATGGAATCGAAGTCGGCTCAAGACCATGCGGAGCTGTGCCACTGTGTCCGTCTTTAAGTTGTGGTGGTTTTGTTCCTGGTATCATAGGCTAGACAGCGACAAATGCGCCATATTGTATTCTTGTGTGTAACATATTTTGCTGTTTCGAATAGTTAACCTGTAGCACTGTTGGAGGTCACTGACGTCGTTTAGTAGCTACAATAATCTTGAGAACAGAGTTGCATTAATCATGTTTTGTTGAATATTCAATA